AACAGTTCAGGATATTTAGGGTTTCTTCCCAGGATGTGGAAAGGGCCAAACCCAGCACCCAAAGGGGGTCCGGTCGCCTTCTCCCAGGGGATGGGGAGAGGTCGAGCAGTGGGATCTTGGCTCCCAGAGACACCGATTGCTTGAGGACAAGTGGACACTGGCTCCATTTTCTTCCCTTTTTCCAATGGTGCCGGGGCTCTGGGGCGGCTGCGCTGCCTCTGCCCCCCCCCGGCCCACCGCCGGGGCCCCAGCCCCACTGCCGGGGCTGGAGCATCCCCCGTACCCCGGGGCCTGGGGCAGGAGGGGGCAGTTCCCACCAAGGAGGAGTAACCGGGGCGTTGGGGTGCAACTGGGGATAGAAATGCCTAAAATTTGAGTGCAAAATCAGTTTAAAAGCGGAAAAAAAATAACTCAGAAGTTAGCTGGGGGAGGGGGGGGATGACACATGGAATCTCCTTTGCATTGCACATCCCCTTGCACAGCGCCCAAAAATAACGGAGATAATTGATTTTCCTGGAAAATTTCACCCAAACTGGGTTCATTGGGGCTTTTTCCTCCTGATTTCTGGGGTTTGCCATTAAATTGCAAACTCTCCCGCACGAGCTGGAAGAGGAGAAGAGTTTTCCAGCCCTGGGTAAAGCAGCACATTGTGGTGCAGAGGATGGGTGAGCCCTGGCTGTGGGGCGGGGGCATGTTCCAGCCCTCCTGTTGGGGGTTTCGCAGGGGGTTTCACCCCTGGGTACCCTCAGCAAGGGGCTGGCGAGGAGGGGGGCAAAGCCAGTGGCTTCAAGGGGTCAATGGTGCAAGGAAACAAAAGTTGGATTTATTACACAGCTGTGAAAAGCGCTGGTTTGTTTGGGGGGCATGGAAATTGCCCCCCTCCAACAGCTCCAAATCCCTGCAATCAGTCTCCAAAAAGCCACTAATTTGTGGCTCAGCTTCTTTACCTCGATGGGATTTTTGGGACCTGTTGTCCTTCTCCTGCTCAGCAAGGAGCTGGGGGCAATGCCAACGGGGACCCCCCCCCATCACAGACCACCCAAAAAAGCCACCCACCTGTGCTGAGACCCTGCACAACTCACTCCATGCCCCTTTGGGCTAT